GATCGCTCGGAGGGAGCCCACACTGGCTGGCAGCTCGATAAAAGGCGGGTGCCACATCACCTCGCGGGAGTCACGTGACCGACCAGACTCGTGGCTCAGACAGGGAATTTGCAGAAGCAGCACGGCAGGAGGAGAGCCAGCGCGGGGCAGGAGGGGGCCATGTGGGAGCCTGGATTTGCTCTGCACAGTCATTGTCCAAGCCACTGCCAACCAGTGGCGATGCAGACGGACTTTCTAATGCAACACAGTCAGCGTCTGCGCTGTGCTCAATGAAAACGGGCCTATGGAAAGCCAGCCCACAGTCACTGGCAGACTGTTCGCCATGTAAATAGCACAGAGAGCAGTGGCAGGAGGGGGCCATGTGGGAGCCTGGATTTGCTCTGCACAGTCATTGTCCAAGCCACTGCCAACCAGTGGCGATGCAGACGGACTTTCTAATGCAACACAGTCAGCGTCTGCGCTGTGCTCAATGAAAACGGGCCTATGGAAAGCCAGCCCACAGTCACTGGCAGACTGTTCGCCATGTAAATAGCACAGAGAGCAGTGCGAGGCTTTAACTAGCATACAATAGCTTCCTGCCCAATTAATGCAAATGAGATGCAGGACGCCTGGCTCCAAAGGCTCTGTGCAGCTAGAGGTGATGTTAGAGGTCACTGGGATTTCTGAGCGCACATGGGGAGGGGGGGGGGAGGGAGGAGGGCGAGAGAGAGATGCTTCCATACCTGCTTCCGTGGATGAAAATGCATGGTTTATGGCAGACACGGGAACACTGCCACATTCAAAGTACTCCAGGTCGTCTTCTGTCTCACCTTTCACCTCTGGCCCGGGGGGTTTCTGACTGGACGACGTAGACGCCAGTTTCTCTTCGTCGGTAGCGTGGCCATCGCAGCTGGCGACGTCTGGGATGTTTGAGATCAATGCTCCTTCGTCCTGTGGGGATCAAGTTAGCGGGTTACCCGGAGCCGAATGGGTAAGCCGCTTCTCTCGGCATCTCATGACGCTTTCGGAAAAGCAAAACCCGGGGCGGAAAAGAATGAGGCAATTTACTTAGTAGACTCAATCCATTCAACGGTGTGATCACAAAACTTGGCCCCTCACCGCCCACGTTCCCTGTAAGCTGGGTGCTTGTGCAGCCACACGGGAGACATTCCAATACTGCCCAGTTGATTAGCAGAGCACCAACAATTATGTTTTCTGTTTCGATTGGTGCACATTCGCACATGCTTTGGTGCACACAATTTTATTCCGCACACCCACGGAAAAGATTAAAGGGAACACTGCTCACCGCTGCCCCAGAAACGGAGAGGGGATACTTTTAAGGCACTGCCCCGGTTCCCTTCCAGGCAGGACAGAGAAAATGTAGAGACCACGGCTTCATTTACTGGCCGAAAAACCTAGCAGGGAAGGATTGCCCGAAGCAACACAGAAAACATCTCCATCGTGGACTCTTGCAGGCCCTCCTCGCGTTGGTCACCCACTGCCAGGGGGATGCTGAGGGGCATTTTGGCAGAGAAGGGGGCTGGAGGGCAAACTGGGGTTTTCAGGGAAGTCTGCTGGCTGGTGCTAGGTTAACATCAGGGTCAAGCTAAAACTCTCCAAGCGCCTCCCCTAACTATGCCCCCTCCCTGCCTCGGGCCACGCTGCAAACCTCCTGCCTCAGCATGCCCGTCCCACACACGAGCCGCTGTGGCAGGCCCCAGCTTCCACGTACCTGAGAGCCAGCATCCAGGGCCAGGGCCGTTATCTCATATTTCTTCGCCTTGCAGCCACTCCTGCAACGAGAGCAAGCGATTCAGAGCCAGCGCGGCTGTTCTCATGGCCGGGGGGAGGGAGGGGGGGGACGTGCACGGGGACGGCGGAAGCAAACGGGGGCAGCATTCCACTGTGCTGATGGGGCAGGTCCAAGCACTCTACAGCAAAGCAAGCTCTTAAAAAAACAACGGACCCCAAAGCACCAAGCCTTGTTTTCTTCACAACCTTTATTCCTCTGCAAAGGCACTGCCCGGGGGAGGGTCTCCAGGCCGCTCCCACCAGCCGAGGGAGAGAGTTCCAGCCAGCAGGGAGCTCGCCGAGAGAGGTTTCTGTCCCCCATCTCCCAAGCTGCGTCTGGGGACGTTACCCAGGGCTCTCACGGGCCCGGTGGCCTCTCGGCGGGAGCGGGGCCAGCGGAGACCCTCCGTAAGCACAGGGCTGCCCGGCTGCCTTGCGGCTGCGCGGA